AGGAATGTAATCTAACCATTTTTAGCAAGGCAGAGGGAATGGGGGAGAAGGGCGAGGCCTGCCAGAGTCACATGCTCCAGTGGGCTAGTGTTCCATTCACTTTCAGCTGACTGGGGAGACGAGGGGAGATAAAATGAACACAAGCAAAACACAAGGTAAAGTTGCAAGGTGACCTGGATGAAGACAGAGGGAAGAGACCTGGGATACAGTCCCGCTAGGAACTCCTGGCTGTGCCCACTTCCACCCCTTTCCGCTCACTCACATACAATAGAAGCTCAATGAGACTTCAGAATTAAGACTAGAGACAAGAGCCGGGCAGCAGTGGCATGCGCCTTTAATCCCAGCACTTGGGAGGCAGAAGCAGGTAGATCTCTGAATTCGAGGCCAGCCTGGTCTACAGAGCAAGTTCCAGGACAGCCAGAACTACAGGTAGAACTCTGTCTCTGAAACCCACCCACCCCCAGAGGGAAAAATGGAAAAGGGAAGAGATACTGGCCATGCAAAGCTTTCTCTCTCATACCTTGATCTTGAGTCTACACTGTGTCAGAACTTTCAAAATCTGATCCCTTGTCTGAATGTCCAGCCCTTTTCTTGCCCCTGGACAAGGCCTTGGGACTCAGTCTCCTCACTTCCAAAGCACCCTTCTCTGATCTTTGATGACACAGTATCCCTGCATCCATTGCCTTCTATCAATTCCACAAGTCCCATGCCTGCATCCCATTCAGCTCCAGTCAAGAGCCAAGTCCTAAGGATCTTCAGAAACATTTGCCATAGTATTCCAGGCATGTTTAGGACGTGTGTGTGTGTGTGTGTGTGTGTGTGTGTGTGTGTGTGTGTAAGCATGTGGTGGCATGTGTGGAGGTCATGGAGTCAGTTCTGCTCTCCCACCTTTACATGGGTGTTGGGGGATAGAAATGAGGTTGTCAGGTCTCAACAGCAATTCTTACCCGCTGAGTCATCTCTCTGATCCCCCCATTGATGTTCTTCCATGCAGGAAATAAGAGCGATCCTGGTGCACTGCCAGGAATACGTGGAGGAAGCCTGTCCTTACCGGGCAAATGGCTTCGTACCCTTCTTTGTTTTTATCTTGGCATTCACAGCACCATTTGCAACTTAAGGTCTAACCTGGCCTCCGCTTGGCTGGGAAAATGCCCTGACAGAAGAAACAGCACCCCAGGATGGCTCACACCACCAAGTGTGTAAGCCAAGCCACCAAGCACACCATTTTTGTAGTCTCTTCTCTATAAATTGACTTTATATATTTCTGTGGCGAGTAAAATTATTAAAAACACTCTTACTTTGGAATGGAACAAATTCTGATTTAAAATAGCAGTCACCAGATAATCATGTACTACTACTTATTTCAAAATTCGGTACTGAGATATTCGGTGAAGCATTATTTGAATGCTCAGTAGAAAATGTTATTTTTTTAATTAAGCAAATCATGTATGGCATGTGCATTTAAATGAACACAGTGGCATGTTGATCCATGTATGTCTAGAGGAAAAGATGCTCAAAACACATATGGGTTTTAAAAATTAAGATCATTTTAAAAGATCTTTAAAGTCACAAAAAGAAATCTTCATTAAAAAAAGAATCTTCTAATAGAGGACTGGATTAGGGTTGGGGCATTAATTTCATGAACAAGGATATGTTTGTATTATATGAGTATGAAAATGAAGTGTCATTGTGTAAGGAGGAGCTTTTCCAAGAAATTCACACTTCAAGCACAAACAGCATTAAGGAGCTGCCCCCTTGTGGAGATTTTGGAACAGGTCATTATTGTGACAAAAACCTTAGCCAGGTGGTGGTGGCACACACCCAGCACTTGGGGGAAGTCAGAGGCAGGTGAATCTCTGAGTTCAAGGCCAGCCTGGTCTATAGAGTGAGTTCCAGGAATGCCTGGGCCACACAGAGAAATCTTATCTCAAAAAAACAAAAAACAAAATAAACAAAACAAAAATTCTGCCTGCCACCCTCCCACCCCCCCACCCCCGCCACCGCTGCCCCCAGGATGGAGGAAGCCTTGAAGTGATTCATTCTTTCATTAACAACAATAAAAATTGGACAATGGGGCCAGGCTTAGTGGTGCACGCCTTTAATCCCAGCAGAGGCAGGCGGATTTCTGTGTTCCAGACTGGGCTACAGAGTGAGTTCTAGGTCAGCCAGGGCTGTTGCACAGAGAAACCCTGTCTCAAAAATACCAAAACAAGCAAGCAAGCAAAAACCCAAACAAACAAACAAACAAAACCTGGACAATGGGGTTGGGGTGAGTCGAAAAATGGCTCATTGGTTAAGAGCCCATGCGAGGCCCCAGATCTGTAACTTCAACTCTAGGGGATCTGGTACCCTCTTCTGGACTCCACAGGTTTTGTCCTCACATACACAAACATACAAACATATATACACATTAGCTATATAATATATATGTATATATACATAAAATGCCATTTTTAACTGTATTGAAGTTCATTGAGTTATACAGATTTGGGTCTGGTTAATGGTGGTGTGTGATGTTTTTATTTATTTACAAGTTTCTTTAAAAAATAGTTTGCAAAATTAAAAATACATAAAATAAAAAACCTGGACAGTGAACAAAATCAGAACGTTGCTTTCTCTCATCAGAGAGGGCTCATGTTCAAGAGAAAGCACCGGATCTATACTGACAGGAGACCGGGAGGAGAGTGGATGCCGATATGGGCTGAGCTAGACCACAGCAGAAATCTGGGGCCTGTGCCCAAGAGAGATAAGAGTTCAAATTGAAATGAGTCACTTAAGCACAGGCAGAGGGTGGTGTGAGTGCACAGAACCCCTACCGCTGCCACGCAGGCTAGCCTGGTCCACCTGTAGACTTATAGGGGGTGCTCACTAGGCAGATGGGGAGGACAGAGATCAGAAAAATCCTGCTGGGAGGTGCAAGCACGGGGAGCACTATGCTTCACGAAACAAAAGTCAGACCAGCAAACCTGAAATGCCAGGACTGATGTCAAGGTTAGAGCCCAGCCTGAACCACGCAGTTAGTAAGGACAAATTATTGAACAACAAACAGAGCAGTAAACCTTATTGTCCCCAGGGGGCTGGATGCAGAGGCACACATCTGCAGCTCGGTGGTAGAGACTTAACTAGTTATGTGCAAAGCCAATTTTGTTTTAAAAATCCTTTTTATTTTTTAATGATTTTTATGGTACCTGGGATTGAAACCCGGGTCTGAACACGCTTGGCGAGCACCCCACCGCCGAGCTGTGGGAGCTCCTTCGTCAGTCTCCAGTTGGCGGCCTTCTGCTTTAGTTTTCTTTTTCCGAGATGTTTTTACTTGTAGTTTCCCGAGTTTACATCTGAATTTTTCCAATTCTTTGTTCATGTGTTTTAATCATTTAAAAAAAATATCTTGGGGGCTGGAGAGACAGCTCAGCAGTCCCAGCACTGGCTGCTCTTCCAGAGAACCTGGGTTCAGTTTCCAGCACCCACATGGCTGCTCACAGCCAACAGTCACTCCATTTCCAGAGGATCTGATGAGCTCTTCTGGCCTCCGTGGGCACTGCATGCATGTGGTGCACAACTTTGTTGACTTATTTCCGGTCCCATCAACCTCTTCATGTCCCTTGCTCAGTGCGGCCCGATCCCAACAGTGACTCTTGCGAGCAGGAACTTGGTGAATGAGCCAGCACCGATGCACCCACAGTGGAGAGAAGCCTTACCGCTGTCACGACTGTGGCAAGCCATTCAGCCATGGCGCCACACTGGCCCAGCATGGAGGCATCCACAAGGGTGCTCGGCCCTACCAGTGTGCTGCCCGGGACAAGGCCTTCGGTTGGCAGTCCACACGGCTCAAGCATCGAAGAAACCATAGCCGGGGGGAGCTACACCACTGCCCTGGGTGTGGCGAGGCCTTCCTTCAGTCAGGGATCTTTGCTGGCTCAAACTATGAGAAGTCACATTCAGAGGGACTGGCTAGCTCCGTCCTTTGGACCTTACCGGTAGCCTAACACACTCACCCTAGCTGCCCGGCCTTTCACTGCTAAGTGGCTTTCCGTGTCTGTCAATGGCACAGACGTTCTCAGGTTTTGGCTGTTGTATAGATGATGACATCATCTTGTGCTCTGTGGTTGTCTGTGATCTGTCCTCATCATCTCTGTTTTGGGACTAGGAAGACTGTCATGAAAATTAGCTGTTAATGGGGCTGGTGTGTGGTGATTTGGAGATTGTAAAAGGTTGGGCATTGCTACTACCTTCTCTGCTCCGTTTTTAAAGGGTGGCCTGTTTCCTCGCCCCTGACTAACAAGAGCTCGACTGCCTCTCCACGGACAGAGCCCTTCTACAACCAACTACCTGCCTGGCTCCTGCTGACAGAAAACCCACCCTTCCTTTACAGAACATCATCCTTGCTGGATGTTTCTCTCCTCTTCCATGCAGTGAACCACTGTGCATTTATAGCACATTTTACTTATTTTCTGACATTTAAGACAGAGCTAAGACCTGTAGACAGTGTCTGCCCGAGCTGACTTGTTCAGTGACGAGAATGTTCACAGGGAACTCAGATGTGATCTTTGGATTAGGTCTTTTCCAAATTCATCTAATTTGGTTTGCCGCCCCCCACACCCCCACTCCACCCCACCCCCTTTTGAGGATTGTAAGCCTTAGTCTGTCATCTACCATCTGTATCACAAATGCCTTCACCATCCCTCTCCTTCTGGTCACATCAGATATGCCCCGGTGTGGCTGGTTCCTTCCAAACCTGCCTAGATCTTTGCAGAATATATTGATTACAGGCCCTGCAGCTTCAGCATCTTGCACAGCGTTAAGTCAACACTAAGGGATGTTTTGACCACACTTCAGAGACACACTGAGAAAACCAGGCGGTGGCCTTGAGACCTAAGCATATTAACAATTACTATCCAATAGAGCGCCTCCTACTGCCCTTCCCATTATTTTCAATTTACAGGGACAGACAGGGAAGGCAGCTGAAAAATCTGAAAGCTGGTGATTTATCCATTCTTGGGTATAAATGACTACAGAGATCTGTGGCTTTCCATTTATTTATCTCCATTTTCCATTCTCTACTGACGTTAGAGTCCTTTAGATTGTTATCAGTGTCGGATTTCCCCCATTAGCACTGAAATCCCAGAAATGTCAAAGACAGACTTATTCTTCTATTTAGCTTTCTATGAAAATATAAAAAGCCGAGCAAAAGAAAGTCACAAAGTTAATATACAAAATGCATTTCATTTTAAAAATGGCATTGATAGCACTAACTCTCTCGAATCGGTAAGGTTTTCCTGTAGGCAGCGGAATTCCTCACTCAGTGGAATATTGCTCTCTGAACGTGCGCACACTCAGGCTTGTTAAAGAGCTCATCTTCTGTCTCTGGGGTGAGTTGGATGTTATCTTTGACTGGAGACAGGGGCTTCTTACAAGAAGGAAGCTTTTCAGAATCCCTGCAACAATATAATAAAAACAAATTTGATTTCCAGGAACTGATTGTTAAAGAAGCAACAACCTAAATGGAAAAAATAGGGGCACATAAACCCTTTACTGCATAAATCTATGTCAATTCCTTATGGAGCACATTCAAGGCTTTATTGTGAATACTTCTAATATGTTTTAAATTTTTCTTCTTTGAGCCTCTTCTTGCTTTCAAAAATCACCTTCCAATGTAGATGCTAGTCTATTAGTTTTGGTGTCTTTCCTGGATCTCGCTCTGCAGCCCAGGCTAGCCTTGAACTCACAGAGATCCGCCTGGCTCTGCCCCCCCGAGTGCTGGGATTAAAGGCATGTGCTACCACTGCCCAGTTCGGAGGAGAGCATCTATAATGAGTTATCTCAACGACTCTTAAATTTATTTAATGTTGAAAATTTTCTTCGAAGAAAAGATTTATTTTACTTTTAATTATATGTATGCATTTATTTAGTGAGAGCAGCAGCCCATAGAGGATAGACAGAGGGATACAGTTCCCCCTACAGCTATAGTTACGGGCAGCTGTGAGTTGCCTGGTGTGAGTACTGGTGAGCTGGGAACTAACTCAGGTCTTTGGAAGGAGCAGCAAGTGCTCTCGATGAAGCCTTCTCCAGCCCTTCTTCGATCCTCAGTGTCTGTAACCAGTGGACCCTCTCTGTAAGCACACTTGAATGACAATACTTCCTTGTGTTAGACATCAGTGTCGGCCGGAGAAGCACCAGCTTATAGTTGGGTTTCTTGTACTTCTCAATAAACCAAGTGTCCTAAGGGAGAGCTGGAGTGAGTGGGGACCTGACAGCTGCTGCTTAAGTCACACCGTGGGAGTCTCACAGGAAGCTTCCTTAGCAGTTCCCTACGCCATATTCTAGAACCAGTCATGTTCCTAGAATATTACTGGGGCCCAAACACTGGTTCGTATGGTTACATGTGTGAGCACTTAACCAACACAGAACCCCCTCCAGGCTCCCGCCTAACACTGTTCTCATTCCAGTCCTGAGCAATGAGAAGGAAAGGAACTTCCGGTCTGGAAAAGAAGCTCTAAGCTGGATTGAGAGCTGAAGGTAACAGAAACTGATTCCTAGGAAAGCCCAGAGAGCTGGGGACCGGGCTACACAAGACAGTGCTCTGTCCTGCTTCAGAGAGGAACCAGGAAACTCACTTTTTAAAACCGAAGTTTTTCCAGAGTTCGCTGATCTTTATCTGCAGCCCTGGCTTGTTCTCAGCATCGTGGTGTTTTCTCTTCAGGATGCTTCCTGGCTTCTTGCTCAGGCCGCTGACTCTGGCAGGCACCAGGGGCTTGATCTTGGTTGTAGAAAGAGAGTCCATAGAACTAGACCTACACAGCCCAGGGATCTGAAGATAAATCAGAATTTTTTGTTACTGTTATTTTGCTTGTTAGAGATGGGAGTGTGGGTCTCCCCAAATGCCAGTTTTAACCTTTTGCTCTCAAAGAACCTAAGTGTCCTTTATATACCAGAACAGGAAAAGAACCCACACACAATGCAAAAATCTAAAGCTGTCTGCTACAGAAACAATCAGTTGTGGAACAGGCAACACACTCCTGGCATAAAATTTAAGTTTAAAAAGCGAGTCTCATTCCCTTCCTCTTCACCTTATTCAAGAAGGGCTGCTGGGTTCGGTGCATCCACTAAGAAAGCCACACACACAGAAAACTTCCAGTTATTACTTTGTCTTCCTTGATCCCACTTAATGACACTTCTTGGAGATTCTTGCATTTCAATAAGAAATTGAAGTGTATTGTGATTAGGTCTGTCTGCCCTACCACTATGTGAAGGTAGCATAATCGACTTAGATCTCTCGTTATTTTTGTTTCTACCCAAGGACTGATTTTATTGTTTGTCTGTGACAAGGTCTCTCTCTCTATTCCTGGCTGTCCTGGAATTCGGAGCTCCTCCTGCCTCTGCCTCCCATGTGCTGGTATTAAAGGCGTGTGCCATCACACCCAGCCTTTTAAGGCTGATTTTTCTGTGTGCACAGTAACTGTTTCTTAGGATAGGGAGGGAGGTGGGTGAACAAGGCTTTAAAACTGATCTGGCAGTGCACATAAAAGTTGAAAAATTAAACAAACAAAACCCAGAGCTCTGCCTGGGTCCATGGTGTGAGAGCCAGTTACATTTTAAGTTCTAATTGCTGTGCCTTAGAGATCCATAAAACAAAAATGCCTCTGATCTGCAAGCCCCTTGCCCAAGGACAGATAGTTCCTGAAATGCTGGAGGCTATTGTTTATGGGAGATAACAAGCCACATGTTTTCACCCCCCCTAAACAAGTTTGGTTGATCCATCTGCACCAGATGTGCTTGATCACATGTGGGTAGAAGTTACGTAGCAGGAAATAGGTCAGGATGTATACTTGCTCCTGGGAAATGCAATGAACTATGTATGGGTTTTTCTTCTTAAGCCCTTGCAAAACTTGATTCTGGGCTATCTTCTGGATACCCATCAACCTGGCCAGTATTTAATTAAAGCTTGCTTTAAATCTGGCTTTAAATTGTGGCAGTGGTCTTATTCTTGATCAGTGGGATTAACAGATATTTTGGCAATACACAGCAAATCAATCTCACCCTAGGAATAGTCAATTACCATAGACTTCATTCTCACAGATTAATTAAAAATTTTAGGGTAAACAATCATAAATTGGATTATGTAACATATATAGAAGTACTTATTACTTATGTACATGGAAAAAGATTTTTCAGAAACAGAAGTTCCAACTAACACATTAAACATCCAAAGGTAATATGGTGTCCAAAGAAGTTTGAAAGTGGGTATTTTTTAAATCAGAATATAGATATTTTAATTTAAATTTTTTGTGTATATTTCTCATTTTCTGGCAATAAGTACACACTGCTTCTGAAGTTAAAAATAATTCTAAATGTTTTACCTTATTCCTTACAAGTGTGTCTTTCTTTGAAAAGGGAGGTAATTGTTGCTTGGAGTTCTGACTTCCTTGATTATCAAGTGACTTGTCGTTACAATCCGATTCCTAGATTTCCCAGATGGAAAACAAAAACTTACTTGAGTGTTTTGTTTGTTTGCTTGTTTGCTTTACAAGAAAGGGTTTCTCTGTGTAACAGCCCTGGCTGTACCAGAACTCACTTTGTAGACCAGGCTGGCCACCATACCCGGCTTCCTTGATTTTTTTTTTTAAGATTTATTTATTTATTATGTATACAAAGTTCTGCCTGCATGTATGTCTACAGGCCAGAAGAGGGCACCAGATCTCATTACAGATGGTTGTGAGCCACCATGTGGTTGCTGGGGATTGAACTCAGGACCTCTGGAAGAGTAGTCACTGCTCTTAACCTCTGATCCATCTCTCCAGCCCCTTCCTTGAGTTTTTATGACAACTCAACCAATATTCAACAAAATGTATGAAATGAGAAACTTGGGTAAATAACATAATTTCATGAAAGACATAAAAACATGGGAAATAAAATGAATTAAACAAAGTATCAAAAGGTTTTAGCTGAAGACATATTCCATAAAATATACACTTAGGGTTTTGAAAGCTTCTCATCAGTCACTTCAGGAGCCTGTCACGACTAACACACACATGTGCTCACAGAGCTGTACAAAACCAAGGCAGCTGAAATTCCCACACAGCTGGTCAAAGCATCTCCAGGACCCACCCCTCCCTCTACTGAGGACCTATTGGCTGGTGACAGCTGCTGGAGGAGGGAGAATCATTCTTCTTTGAGGTTATGATTACTAGAGGGTTTCCCATGCTGCACACCTATGCACATACGAGCAGCACTAATTGTACTTCATGGGCTACAAAAAAAAAAAAGGGACAGGAAGTTAGGAGTAGTAGGTGCTGGGGCGGGATATAGGGAGATAAGGGGGGGGTGTCTTGGTCATATTCCTTTGTGTGTGTATGAAACTCCAAGTACGCTAACTCAGAAATCGCTGCAGTCTCCTGCTCTAAGGGGATTCACTCTTACTTGGCAACAGTTCCAAGCTGCTGACCACAGAAAGCTGAACCAGCACAGTCCCACACGCTCTTAGCTGTGCTGTAAGATGGGCAGCATCTTCCTTCAAGATGGGCCCTCCTTTGAGGGCCTTGACAGATGCTCACTTAACGTCAGCAGTGATGTGGAGGACCTCCTCTGCCTCAGTTCCACGGCACAAGACTCTCCACGTAGCCAGACTTCTCCCCGTGCTTATTCCCATGCATCATCAATAGAAAGGCTGGTAAATGAAGGCAGCACTTGGCGTTTCTCTAAGATTTCCTGTATCCTCTCAGGATTCTATACCGTTATCATGCACTTTAACAGTGACTCAAGATTGCCTTATGCCTTACAGACCTTCACATTTCTCTGCCGTAGCTCACAGCAGTGGTATAAGTGGTAAGGCCAATTTCTTTTCTTTTGACATGGTCTCATGCTCTATAGCAAGGTCAGGAACTTATTACACAGACCAAGCTGCCTCAAACTTACATCAACTTCCTCACCCTGCTTCCTAATTTCTGAGATTACAGATGTGCACTATCACATCCATCTTAAATGACTTACTCTTCCGACAGGAGTTTGACATATAGCCCAGGTTGTGGCCAAATTTGCAACCCCCAAAATTTGAGGTTACAGAGCTGCCCCATGGCCAGGCAAACAATTTCTTACAATAGGGTCATGGGTAAGACTTTTTTTTTTTTTTTTGGAGACAGGGTTTCTCTATGTAGCTTTGCGTCTTTCCTGGATCTCGCTCTGTAGACCAGGCTGGCCTCGAAATCAGAGATCTGCCTGGCTCTGCCTCCCAAGTGCTGGGATTAAAGGCATGCGCCACCACGGCCCGGCCGGGTAAGATTCTTAAGATTAGACCCTGGCTAGGTGAATGGCTGGATCTAGTTTAACAATGAACTTTCACCCAAGAGCTCCAACACTGAAGCACTTCAGATGTACACAATGAAAACAGATTTTCAAAACAAAGCATAAAAGACAGCAAAAACAAACAAAACAAGACTCAACAGCATTGTTTGGGAACATTTATAAATCAAAGAAATATTATGCCTAACTATGAATTCAATTTTTTTGAGCATTAACCATCCCTCGTAAGAGGGGTTTACCATATGTGGGGGCAAGAGGACATTCAATGAATGAGTCATCACTTAGTATTTTTGGAGTTTCTTTCCTTTTTTTTTTTTAAGTTTTGTGAGACAGGGTCTTGCTATGCAGCCCAGGCAGGCTTTCCTAGTGCTCGGAGTGCAGGCATGCAGCCTCACACCTGGCTAGGCCTATTTCAACACCACCTTAGGGTAGAAGATGTTTATCCCAGAAGACAGACTGGCTCTCAGCATGAGCAGCCCACAGCGTGGGAGCAGATGAGGATCTCATTATTCAGCTGAAAGCTTACAGAGTAAGTGAAACAGAAAATGTGCTGGGGGAATTAAAAAAAGCTCCCTCTCCTCCAGGAGCTCAGCAGGCTTGCAATGTCCTCCACACAGCAATGCTTCTACGGAAAATGTGTGAGAGCTGGCAACTGCCCTGGTAACTCAAATGGCCCTAAGAGGCAACATTCCATGTAGCAGAGGTTCATGTTCAATGAAATAGACTTCCAGATCACGGGACAGTATTAAACATGGAGCAGCCGGGCGGTGGTGGCGCACGCCTTTAATCCCAGCACTCGGGAGGCAGAGCCAGGCGGATCTCTGTGAGTTCGAGGCCAGCCTGGGCTACCAAGTGAGTTCCAGGAAAGGCGCAAAGCTACACAGAGAAACCCTGTCTCGAAAAACCAAAAAAAAAAAAAAAAAAAAAAAAAAACATGGAGCAGCCGAAGACAAAGCAAGAGACAGGGAGCTGATGAAGCAGTTCCTTGTGTGGGCAGGGCCTGGCAACCCAAGTTCAATCCCTAGGGCATGGTAGAAGGACAGAATGACTCCTATGGGCTGTCCTCTGATTCCTTCTTGTGCACCAGGGCATGTGCCAACATACATACACACACACACACACACTACACACATGTATGTTCATTAGATAAATACATCTAATTAAAAAAAAAGAAAGAAGAGAACGGGAAAGGAAAGACAGAAGCCTCAATGTCAACAGCTGTAGCCCCGATAAGCTCCTAAAGCACTAAACAGGGTCAAGTGGGACAGATTTCCAATTCAAATACATACACTGACTTCAGTTTTCTTCAAGTGGAAATGATTTATCCCCACATTTTAAGGGCTATTTTCTTATGACTGAATCCAAAAGTTTTGAGTATTTTCAGGCTAGCTGGAAGGCTAGGCTGGTAAAGTGAGTATTTTCTCAAGCTATACACATTTATTACGTGCCATACAATATTCAGTATTGTCAAGCAAAGTTTTTCCAAACAGTACCACAATTTTAATTGTTCTTACAATTTGGTAATTATATTTGGTGCAGATAAGACAGTACTAATGACTTTGAGGTAACAGATTTAAACAAAGCTATAAAGCCATTACATTATTTCAAAATATGTTGCTGTGGAATAATGCTTTTGTACACTGGTTTAATAAAACGCTGATTGACCAGTAGCCAGGCAGGAAGTATAGGCAGGATAAGCAGTCAAGGAGAATTCGGGGAAGAGGAAGGCTAAGTCTGGAGACGCCAGCCCACCGACCAGGAAGCAGCGTGTAATGGCACACAGGTAAAGCCATGGAATGCGTGACGACATATTGATTAACAAAATTGGACTGAATTTAAGTATAAGAACTAGTCAGTAATAAGCCTGAGCAGATGGCTGAGCAGTTCGTAATTAATATAAGCCTCTGTGCATTCACTTGGGTCTGAGCAGCTGTGGGATCACAGGGTGGGGTCAGGAAAACTTCAGGTACAAATGGCGCCCAATGGCTCGAGTTTCTACCTATAACCTGATAATACTTAATAAGCAATTCTAAACGGAACCAAAAACAGGTTCCTGCTTCATGTCTCATGCGGGCGGTGAGATGCCGCAGCATTTGGGCTTGATCGCAACATGATGGAGGCATGGACCTACTGCTTCCCAGAGTCACTGGTGAGCATGGCTCCCCCAAAGCTGGCGATGAACTTACTGCTGCCATGTTGGGACGCTTAGATGGGCGGAGCAAGCAGCCAAGGCTACAGCCTTGGTTCTAGTCATGCAGTTTAGCAGTTTAAAAAACTCTCCTGGTCACAGAAAGATTATAGATTCACAATAAGACAGATTCAGATTAAATAAAACTTTAAACAGTTTACAATGTATGCAAAAAATGTACATAGGCTTGAAAGAAGGAGGAAAAGGAAGATAGACAGTTAAATAAATAAATAAAGTTTTAAAAAATGAAGTCTTTAAAGAGACAGTAAAAGTAATATAAAAAATAAGCCATGTAAAGATGAAAAGCACATAGACAGTCTGGATTATATTGTCTTTGGGATTTTTAACTGCAGAGAGACATTTGATTGTAAAAGCTGCTGAGTTAAACCAAGATATATATTTTAAAGATATCTTGAGTTCAAAATTTATGTCTAAGGATGTGTTGCTTTAGAAAAGAGGTTCTGCTTTTGTTTCCACAGGAAGCAAGAGGCTATGGATTTGTTCCAGGTTAAAATGGATCAGATTTGATCAAGCCAGACATCCTGAACCTTAACAGATGGTACCTATCAACAAAGGTTATAGCCACTCTTCCCAGGACTTGACTATCATCTCGAATTTTCTCAGGATCCCCATAAGACTACCAGCACCCCCTATCAGCAGGAAGTAGCCTAGAAAACTATGCCTACATTCCCAAAAATATGGATTATGGATGATTGTCTTTGTTTAGGTTGTTGGTTACAAATTGTTATTGATTATAAATGCAATCTCTTTCTAAAGAAGAAAAGGGGATAGTATAAATATGACAGGATAAAAAGGTGGATTGTTGAACCTATTTTTAATTAATTAATTAATTTATTTATTTTGAGACAGGGTTTCTCTGTATAGCTTTGAGCCTTTCCTGGAACTCACTCTGTAGTCCAGGGTGGCCTTGAACTCAGAGATCCGCCTGGCTCTGCCTACCAAGTGCTGGGATTAAAGGCGTGCGCCACCACCGCCCGGCTTTGAACCAAACTTGTTTAAAATGTTTTACATTGGTATACATTTTTTTTTTAATTTTTTTAATAACTGAATAAATAACTTAATTATTATGACAACAAGATTTATAATCTATCCCTTGGGATAGTTTTCACTGAAAATAAAAAATAGTTACAATGAATAAATACATTCTTACAAAGGCAAATCGTGACGACATTTTAGTTTATTGATACAAATTTAAAGTTAATTTTGTTATACTGTATATGTATTTCTACTCTTGTTTAAGGTATTAAGGTTTGTGTAGCTTATTTAAATTGTAATGGATAATTAAGAAATACAGATTAATAATTAGTCTTCTATGATAGTCAAACTTATAGTCATGTTAAGTTTTCTAGGTATATATAGATATAATTCAATTAGGTAGGTAATCTTCAAATACTTCAAAGACCTACAGAATATAGCATTTAAAATGTTTTAAGAACTTAGACTTTCTGGACAGTGAGACACATCTGCTCCTGGAAGCACTTCTTCACTTCAAAGAGGAAGATGGGCATTGAAGACACTCCATATAGAGTTTGTCTTCTTCTTGGCAAAAATAGCCATTTGGGCAAGAAACTGTTCTTGCCTGGACTGCCTGACAAAATGTTGTATCGAGTGGACATGCAGGACCTATAGAAAGGTGACCACTGAACTTTCTTTTTTTTTTTTTTTTTTTTGGTTTTTCGAGACAGGGTTTCTCTGTGTAGCTTTGCGCCTTTCCTGGAACTCACTTGGTAGTCCAGGCTGGCCTCGAACTCACAGAGATCCACCTGGCTCTGCCTCCCGAGTGCTGGGATTAAAGGCGTGCGCCACCACCGCCCGGCCCACTGAACTTTCTAAGGTGAGATGGTCCTTCAGGTTCCTGCTTTACAGAAGAAACTGCCAGACATTCTACAGGACACAGAGAGAAGCAACTGAGAGACTCTAGGCCTATAGGCTGAAAAATGGATGCCCCAACATTGCAGAAAAACTTTGGGTAAATATCCAGGTAGCCAGCTGTCTCTGTCATTTCCAGAATTTTGGAAATTGCTTACAGTGCATTTCCTATTTACTTAGGTAATATTATATCCTTCTGAGGTCTTTGATGTAGTTGAAGACTAGATAGTTATAATTTTCCTTAGTTATGATAAAAGATAAGTTAGATATGAAACCTTAGACTCACAAATATAGGATAGATAGGATATCTTCTTTAATTTTGCCAAATATAAATAGACTAGATATTGTAACTGTAATTCTTGCTTGATAACTATTTTGTTATATATAATTTTACTATGTTAAAGTTAAAACTTTCCTTTTTAATTAAACAGAAAAGGGGAAATGCCATGAAATAATGCTTTTGTACACTGGTTTAATAAAATGCTGATTGACCAGTAGCCAGGCAGGAAGTATAGGCGGGATTAGAAGACAAGGAGAATTCAGGGAAGAGGAAGCCTGAGTCAGGAGACGCCAGTCCACCGACCAGGGAACAGCATGTAATGGCACACAGGTAAAATCCTGTGGAACACGTGGCGACATATTAACACAATTGGACTGAATTTAAGTGTAAGAACTAGTCAGTAGTTAGTCTGAACTAATGGCCAAGCAGTTCCTAATTAATATAAGCCTCTGTGCATTCACTTGGGTCTGAGCGGCTGTGGGACCACGGGGTGGGGCCAGGAAAACTTCAGCTACGATACATCACTGATTTACGAGTAATATTCAGTTAAGGCTTTGATGCCAGTTAAATCAGTGCCAGAAATAAAAAGAAATTGAAGTCAGAATAAAATGTTTAATATATATATAAAACGATTAAATGCTTTTAAAATTTCAAACAAAAGAAAAATTGCTATTATGTTTTGTTATAAAGGAAGTTTACCAGAAACAAAAAAAGAATAAAGGAAACTATTTCCAAAGTACTAAGATACAATGAACACGAAAACATTAACATACCCATTCCTTCATACACTATGAAATGCTAGCTGAATTAAAATTTATACTAACTATCAGTTCATCTCCTGGCTATCACTGCTTAGAAGACAAGGGTGCGGCACTCCAGTCCTAATCAGTGGAGTGTACAGCCATCCAGGAAGTACAAGTGTAGGTGTCCAGGAGCAGAAGGAATGAAGGACAGAGAGGCCCTTCATGTGAATAAAACTCAAGTTTTCCAACAGGAGGATTTTGTTTTTAAATGACTTACTTTTGTCTTATGTGCATTGGTGTTTTGCCTTCATGTATGCCTGTGTGAGGGTGTCAGATCCCCTGGAACTGGAATACAGACAGTTGTGAGCTGCCATGTGGGTGCTGGGATTGAACCCGGGTACTCTGGAAGAGCAGCCAGTGCTCTGTTGGGGATTCTGCTTTCTTTCTGTATGCTGTGAATGTGTTGCTCTGATTGATCGATAAATAAAATGCTGATTGGCCAGTAGCCAGGCAGAAAGTATAGTATAGGCAGGATAAGCAGAGAGGAGAATGCTGGGAAGTGGAAGGCTGAGTCAGGAGATGCTGCCAGCTGCCGCCATGAGAAGCAAGATGTAAAGTACTGGTAAGCCACGAGCCATGTGGCAACGTATGGATTAATAGAAATGGGTTAATTTGAGATATAAGAACTAGATAGCAAGAAGCCTGCCACAGCCATACAGTTTATAAATAAAATAAGTCTCTGTATGTTTACTTGGGTCTGAGTGGCTGCAGGAGCCAGGTGGACACAGAAAAACTCCAGTTACAGTGCTCTTAATCACTGAGCCATCTCTCCAGCCCCAGAAGCACAGGAGAATTCTGAATAAAAATTGAGAAAGCCAGTTCATTTCTACAGTGTTGGCAAAATTTCCTCAACTGTCTGATCAACATACCACTTTTTCCTGCATTTGAGTCTGAAAAAGACTGCAGGAACAGACTCACCTCTGAATCTGAATCCTTACTGGAAGGCTGGGAAAAGTTCGATGCATTTAAACTCCATAGTGAGTCTATGCTTTCCTGAGATTGTGAGGACCAGCCCACCTCAGGCAAGGGCTGAGACTTAGCACTTGACATTTCACTCTTTGAATGACATGTGTCAGTCACTGCACAGGTCTCGGGCAGACAGGTCTCGCTCTTTCTTCGGAACTGCTGTAACACAGTGCTTGGAGAGGGACTTGGAGTTCTTGAAAAATGTCCAAGCGTTCCTGACCAACTGAAACAACTTCTTAGTGTCCCCAGAGTGGGCGGGGAAACAGTCCCCACGAATTTGCTGGTCTCGGAAGACTGAGCCTCATCATCAGGAGACACAGTCTCATTGCCTGAGACCTGAGCACTTGGATCCTGTGTCCTACTTACGTCAACCAGCTTCTGGCCCTCTGTGCCTGGACAGTTGGATATTCTGAGGCTATCTGTGCCTTGACAGTCTGATGCTCCGAGGCCCTCTGTGCCTTGACAGTCTAATGCTCCGAGGCCCTCTGTGCCTTGACAGTCGGATGCTCCGAGGCCCTCTGTGCCTTGACAGTCTGGTGCTCCAAGGCCTTCTGTGCCTGGACAGTCTGGTGTTCTGAGGCCTTCTGTGCCTTGACAGTCTGGTGCCCTGAGGCCCTCTGTGCCTTGACAGTCTGATGCTCCGAGGCCCTCTGGGCCTTGACAGTCTGGTGCTCTGAGGCTGGTAGTGGCTTTGCCTCCAACAGCAGTTTCATTTAGAGGTTGAATGCTTGCTTTTTTTGGTACGTAGTCATCAAAATTTGGAGAACTGCAAAAAAATCTAACAAGAAACAGGAAGACAGGATTATATCTTTAGTATATTACCAAGATTCAAATATCTACTTTCTTACATAAAGACTACAAAGATCTTGAATTTTAATTGAAGTTTAAATCTTACTTTTTTGTTTTGTTTTTTGAGACAGGGTCTCTTTACATAGTACTGGCTGTCCTGGGGCTCGAGATGTAGACCAGGCTAGCCTCAAACTCACAGAGAGATCCACTTGCTTCTGCCTCCCAAGTGCTGGGATAAAGACTTGTGCAGCCTGCCTGGCTGAGGTATAAATTTTATTATGATAACATGCACATCTTTAGAAAGTTATTTATATGGTAAAGCTTTACATAGAAGACAGAGTCCAGGATTCCTAAATCCCTGCATTTGGGAGACAGAGACAGGGGGATCTCTGTGAGTTTAAGACAAGCCTAGTCTACACAGTTCTAGACCAACCAGAAAACAAAACAAAACAAAAAAAACCCCCAAAATCCTGTCTCAGTCCTCCCCAATTAGTCTATGGTGTTGTTTAGTTTATTTCTAGATCCTGAAAGATAAACTGAAATATTTATAGGAAAGGTGTGGATATTAATAAAGATAATTAAGACAAGACTGATTGATCAATCAGCTCCTCAAAATACCATAAGAGGAGAAACCATGGGAAGCGGAAAGAGAAGCTAAAAGAACACAACTCTGACCACACAGCGTGCCCACAGGGGTTACAGTCCTTCTGTGCTCGGGCGGATGCATGTGCGGATCCCAGAACTAATGGTGTGGACAGGAACAACAATGCATTCTGGTCTGAACTAAGGTGTGGTGAATCATATGGACTAGAAGTCACCTAGGAAAGCAGCCTCTGTACATGCTTGTGAGAATCCTGTGGACGGGGCTGAGGGAGATGAAGACTCACACTAACTGTGGGTGGCAACATTTCACGGGCTACAGTCCTGAACTGAGCACAAAGGAGACGGAGAGCTGGGCAGTCACTGTCTCCCTCTTCCTGACCTAGGTGCCATGTGGCCAGCTGCCTCCTGCTCCCGACCGCTTTCCACAGACGTGACGGACTGTGACCTAACAGACCTTTCCTTTGTCAGGCACTTCTGTCACAGCCACAGGGAAGTAACTAGGGCAACCAGGGCAAAAAACACGCAACAGGCTTCCGCAGATGAGGCTACCCCACTTAAGAGGCGCTCTGAGGACACGGTACCTGCTTCTGGTCCCTGGAACCACAACTGCGCCATTTTCTTCGTTCTTCCTCTGTAACAACACTGCGAACTTGTTCCTTGTCCTAGATGGAGTGTGTGCGTCTGTCATGTGGGCAGTCCCGCCATCCAGGTGGGGTGCAGACACTTCAGAAGGGTCAGAAGGTACGCTGTCTCCACTGCTGGTTTTCTTGGTCTTCTTTGTAAATGAATACTGACTCAATAGGTCATCTTCGGACAGAGATTCTACACAAGAACAGAAGCACGCATGAACACCTGGGCTTCTTCCGTTGCTGGCTATTGGCCTGGATTTTACAGCCTGAGTCCCGATGTCCTAAAGGCAAAGCATCCTTTTTCCCTGCACATGTTGGGCAAGGGCTCTCATGGAGCCATACTCAGTCCTATTTTGTTTTTTGAAAGCTATGTGTCAAGAAAGGATACATTAAGAATGGCTGAAAAATGATTACCTTAGCTGTGTTTTACAATTTTGCAAATTAGTTAACGTTTAATGTCAATTATCTGTATGACTTTATATGAAATTATTCTAATCACCATTTCAGGGCATAACAGATTCTGAATGGCTATATTTTTATTTTAAGAGTAGAAAAAAATTGGAGGGAGGCTTATATACCAAAGCTATGACTAATGACTGAAAGTTTATTTACCCCTGTTGTGGTTTCTGAGGTAGATGTGACTATGTTCCAGCTCAGCTCTTCATTACCATGCCAAGAGGCCAAGGAGGGTTGCTGGGTCAAGTGTGGACTACAGAAAGTGACAGCCAAGAAAAGAAGGCGGACAGGGCTGCAGCACTTTAGGTCCTTCAGCTAGTTCTCAGTCTGCTCAGCGCCACCCCACTGCAGCCGAAATGCATACTTCTTGGAGTCAGGAAAACAGGGTAAAGACGCCTGCTACCAACCCTGGCCACCCGAGTTTGATGCCTGGGACACACAGAGTGGAAAGGGAGAACCCATTCCTGCAAGATGCCCTCTGACCTCCACTTACACACCTTGGCATACATGTGTCTGTTCCCCCAATAATAACAACAACAACAATAATAATAACAACAATAATGAATGTAAAAATAAAACTAAAAAAGTGGTAGGATAGGTTGGGGGTACCAAATTCTAGAGGAAAATGTTCATTTTTAAAGAAAAACATATTTTTAAAAATTGTAGCTCAGTAAACTTCATCTTAACCCCCAGCAAAAGTTAAGTCTACTTGTAGCACGAATTTTAAAAGTTCTTATTAATAAAATCAAACCCGAGGCCAGTTATTGGGGTCAATGCTGGTAGATCAGAGAGACAGAACAAGCCACAGCTATCTCACCTTGCCAATTCCTCAGTTGGTCCTGTTTCCTCAGACTGGAAGCTTCTGTGTCCTCATCCCAGTGGCTCTCAGCTGAACTGCTGCTAGAAGCCTGAATGCTTAACCAGGCCAAATGCCTAACCAGCTAAATGCTTCTAGTTTCTGGTCTCCACACCTTATATATCTTTCTGTTCTTGCCATCACTCCCTGGGATTAAAGGCGTGAATCACCATGCCTGGCTGTTTCCAATGCGGCCTTGAACTCACAGAGATCCAGAAGGATTTCTGTCTCTGGAATGCTAGGATTCAAGGTGTGAGTGCCACCATTTTCTAGCCTCTGTATCTAGTGGCTGTCTGTTCGCTGACCCCAGATAAGTTTATTAGGATGCACAATATTTTGGGGAACACAATACCACCACATCTGCTTACTACGCAGGGCACTGGGAGCCCTTGGAGAAGAAAAGGAAATGGACACTGTAGGAACCCCGGCAATGGATGCCAGACAGCTCACTGTCTTATTACAACAGGTTGTTAGTGCCGCTAGCTGGGGACTCCTAGTGTCTCACGAGATCCCAGTGGATAGTCAGCATCTGTTACCTCTTGGGGACAAGGATTTGTAGCAAGTTGTACACCCTAAGAGACAGGGTCTGGGACTCTAGATTCCCATACTTTCTCTAATTCACTCAAGTATTTTATAGACAAATGCAATATAACCTAAAAACGTAAGACACAGGGGCCACAGTTTCAACAACCCACATGGAAGTTTAAGATGTCGTTGCACTTGGCTTGAACAGCGACTGGAGAAATTCAACCTGAGCTCAGCCAATGACAGAAACAAGATAAGCACGCCAACAGGCGTGATCAGTCTGACTCTGCAACAGTAAAAGCAGCCTTGGAGAAGGGCCCAAGTGCCAACCTGACTGTTGTCTACAGGGTCTCTCTGTGCAGCCCTGGCTGTCCTGGAAATCACTCTGTAGTCAAGACTGGCCTTGAACTCCTTGAAATCTGCCTGCCTCTGCCTCCCATGTGCCACCACCTGCACCCAGCTCCATGGCCTTTTTTAAAAAAGAGAAACTGACAAGTGAATCCTAAAAACTCCACAAAAACAGAAAGAACCTCAAACAGCCAAAAAATAACTTCTGAAAAGCAGAACAGACTTATACCACAGGGATTTATACTACCAGATTTCAGGATGTGCTGAGCTATGGTAATGAGCGTGTGATGCTAAGGTCAGGGCAGGCAGCAGCACAGACTGGTTGACCAGCCAGGATGCACTGCACAGCAAGGGATTTCCAACAGCTGCTAGGTGGCTATATGGAAAAATGGAAACTCCTCGGCCAACAGTCCTGGACAGCCACACTGCCATACACACACAGAGGAGCCTGGAGCCTTACTGTCCGCCATCCACAATGTCTCTAAACACAAGACCTACAGCTGTGGAACTAACAGGAACAATCAAAGAAACTGCAGTGGCCTGGGCTTGGAAAAGATCCCTTAACTGTTGGAAAGCCTGCTGCTTAAGGTTGTAATGCATCATGTCCAGACAGCTCTCTAAGCTCAGCACAAAATGGAAGACACCACCACCACCACCACCACCCCCCGCCCTTCCCCCAGCAGGGCTTCCTACTCTCTGCCTGACCTTCTTTGGAAGCTGTTCCTGAGCTTGGATGCCTGACTTATCTTTTTTTTTTTTTTAAAGATTTATTTATTTTTTAATTGTCTTTTGTTTTTGTTTTTGATTTTTCGAGACAGGGTTTCTCTGTGTAGCTTTGCGCCTTTCCTGGATCTGGCTCTGTAGACCAGGTTGGCCTCGAACTCACAAAGATCCGCCTGCCTCTGCCTCCCAAGTGCTGGGATTAAAGGCATGCGCCACCACCACCCGGCGATTTATTTATTTTTTATGTGCATTGGTGTTTTGCCTGCACGTGAGGATGTCAGGATCCTGCACGTGAGGATGGAACTGGAGTTACAGACAGTTGTGAGTTGCCATGTGGATGCTGGGGATTGAACCTGCGTCCTCTGGAAGAACAGCTACTGCTCTTAACCGCTGAGCCATCTCTCCAGCCCCTGATGTATCTTAAGTGAACCTTTGACACAGCTCCCTGCAAACGCTTTCCCCCACCACCCATGTGATAATTAGGTGTTGTGCTCCCATCTGGATCATGGGACCGTGCTGCCAAATGCAAATAAAGCATACTATGAGCACCCTTAGGTGATGCCACAGCTGCTGTCCCTGTCCCCTCACTCCTTGGAATGAATTGAGCGGTCTAACTGGAGCTGACTTCAGAGGGTCTTTCTGTCCCACTCACAGCAGTCTGAGCCCTGTTCCTCACCATTTCTGCTCCCTCTTCCCTCGTGAGCTGGTGGCCAACAACCCCAGAGGAAGGAGGAGACCCATAACAAACCATCAGCAGCATCTAGAAAAAGTGAAATACATACCATTTCTTGGTCTCTTCACCACAGAAGACTTCCTGGGAAGATTTAACCCTTTAGTACTAATCACTTGTTTAAGGCCCACGGTACTTGACTTTTCCGTCAACCCAGGAGCGTGGGAAACACCATTCACCTCAAGTCGAGGACAATAATTCCTGTGCCAAATGCTGTTGGCAACAGGTGACTTCTGACATGCTTTATCATTCCAGCTGTGACTTCTTGAGTGGACAGGCTAGAAAAGAACAAGGAGAAAGGTTACTTGCACAGGAGAAATGGCCATTTCCTACTGGATCGGCTTATAGTAATGTTCAATTACCGTTCAAAAGACAAGCTTTTGAGCCCAGCCTGGTGATGCATGCCTGTGACCCCAGCTACCTAGGAGGCCGAGGCAGGAGGATCAGGCTACCTCGTGAGTTCAGGCCCAGTCTGGGTGACTCAGTGAGCAATGTCAAATTAAATAGGGCTGAGTGGTGCAGTGCTTGCCCCCAGGCTGAGGCCTGGAGGAAGTTGGGGGAAGGGGGAAGGTGAGGAAGAAAGGAAGAGAGGGAAGGTCCTGATGACGTCTGTGCTCTAGTAACTTTTTCCTTTCCTCTGCTAACCTCACTCTTCTCCATTAAACATGTATTATCTTCCTAGGTCTGTCTTCTACTCACCGGCTCACTTCCAAGACATAAAACCCAATCTTCCTAAAAGAGCAACACGGTGAGGCCAGTGAAAGTGTCTGTCAGTCTGCACATCACCTCAGCAATAATCCCACGGCACATGAACACTTCCACAGCCTTCAAAAGCACCGGACTGCAGAGGCATGTGCTCAAAGCAGTCACCCACCTTACTTAGACATCCGTTCACTTTTAATTAGTTATTTGAGGTGAGACAGGCTCTCCCGTAGTCTAGGCTGGTTGAACTGATCCTCATGCCTCAGCCTCCCAAGTGCTGGGACTACCACCAGCAGTCCCCAAGCCTGGATAGAAACCTGTTGTATTCAAACCACAACGATCTAGTTTTGAAAGAACTAGCTCGTATCAGACTTACTTGGTACCACGCTGAGAAAGCAAAAGCCGCTTTGGCATCACTGAGACTTGCATAAAACTTCTGAGAAAGGGTATAAACATGAACAAGAAGAGATGGTGCAAACTAGCAGGACACAGCATCGTAAAGAATACATATAATGAAGGTGGCAGTGAAGAGTTCAGACACATGGCAGGGTACTCATTAAATATTTGCTAATTTATGAATGAGCCTAAACAGCTTGTATTCAAGGGTCATGTTTTGGGTTTTCAGTAATGCTAAGTGCCACAGAGTCTGAATGGTGTAAAATGAGAAACAAGACACCGAATGTATCATATAGTTATAACAAATACTTGTCTTAAAAATATCACCTAGTCCCTTTTTAGTTTTAAAAACCTAATACATCTACATTTTTAAAGATAATTTCTCTAGAATTAAGTTAATGATTCTTTAAAAGTAATTAGCTACATGTGGTGGCACACACCTTTAATTCCAGCACCCAGGGGGCAGAGGCAGGCGGATCTCTGTGAGTTTGAGGCCATCCTGGTCTGCATAGTGAGTTTCAGGACAGCCAAGACTTCATAGTGAAAATCTGTCTTAAAACAAAACAAAAAGACAAGATTTCACTATATAGTCCAGGCTAACCTTGAATGGCAATTCTCCCGTCTCAGGGTCCCAAATCCTGGGGCTACAGATGCCTGCCACCCCAGGTGGAGTTGTTTTCCATGTACACTCTGCATAGCACTGAGTACCAAAATACTTCACAGCTGCTGAGCAAAGAAAGCCTTGCTTCAAAGTCCTTGAGTCAAAACTAAAAGGTGCTTTTATATAGCAGTTCTTAAAATGTTACCATAGTGTCTGGACTGTAGTCGTCAATCTGCTCGAAGGTATTTATATCTCTGTTTCCAAGTGCTATTTGCAGAGCTACGGAGTCCTCAACATACCTGGGGTTGGTAAGGTTAAGGAGAATGTCCTTACAAACAAGCAATCGAATCATACTATACTAAGGAATGAAAATGCTGTCCATTACCACAGAGAATCTTCAAGGTTTATGATGTACATAGATCCCACCTACTGTTTACATCATCATCACTGATAACAGGCAGGGTAGCTGGCCTGTGTCCCTGCAGGAGCTGCCCATCTTCTTGAAGGGAAGCCCAAGTCAATTCCTCCCTTTCCAGAGAGATGTGGGGAAAGTCCTGGCCACTACCTAAGTGATTGAGAATTCTGCAGCTGCCTGAGTACTGGTGACCAGCAACCCTCCTGAGGAATCAGGCCTGCCCTAGCGGCTCTCAGGTGACACTTTTGATGCGCTTGCTAAGAGCAGGTGACCTGGCGCCAGTGTGGTTAATTACATTGGAGCAATCTCTCGCTACACAGATGAGCCTCGGGTTCACATTCAGAAACTTAACTTTTCACTAGCATGGTTTTTTTGGAGTTGAGTAAAATATGACAATCCGCACCATAAAATATAAGACCAATTTCCAAGTTTTTCTTTCTTTTTTTACTAAAGTCTCACTAAAAATATTGTGCTACTACCAACAACGTTAACAGAGTAAGTGAAAAATTCAAGCACGTGGCTCAGAAAGGATACTGCCCAGCGTAACTCAGGGTTTCGGGGTTAACGTCATCTCCATAGGCATTCAGAGGGACCAGCTTCCTTTGGATGGGGTCGAACACTAGCTGGTAGAGGAAAGTATTGTTGGCTCGGATAAATCCTGTGATGTAATCCTCTGGCACCGTTATATTCATCTTGAGATAATGCCCGATTTTCTTGATAACCTAACAATGGATATAAAAACACTTCACGCCGGGCGGTGGTGGCGCAAGCCTTTAATCCCAGCACTCGGGAGGCAGAGGCAGGCGGATCTCTGTGAGTTCGAGGCCAGCCTGGTCTCCAAAGCGAGTACCAGGAAAGGCGCAAAACTACACAGAGAAACCCTGTCTCGAAAAACCAAAAAAAAAAAAAAAACACTTCACGTAAAGCTGAAGAGGAGGGAGTGTGTCGATCCCACATCTGACACTGCAGACCGAGAAGAAAAAATCAACTGCTTTCATCTATGCCAAAAAAACTCTGAACAGAAAACACAGCCACACCACAAACCTCAAAACTCTGGTCTCATAACCAGCTTTGCACTGTTCATCCAAAATGCAAAATATCCAGCTTATGGAAAGTGTACAGATCTAGAATACTCTTTAAAGTCCTTTCAGTAACTGGTGCCCAGAACTGGGACCCTTAGAGGTAAGTAAGAACGAACAGGACTTCACCTAAGGGTTTCTAAAGCCTCCTGGGTAAGAGCTAGACCAGGCAAAATAGAGGTGAAAAGAAAGAACTGAAAAACTTTGAGAAGTCATGGGCCATATTGAGTCTAATGAAAGAAGACTCTTTGTAAACATAATGCTGCACATTTTAAAGAAAAAGGGAATTAAAGTTAATACTTCACAAATGATTGTTTCCTTACAATTTATATAGCAATGTAGTTCTTGGTTCCCAGGTCAGAGAACCTTAGATTTGGGAATCTGGGATAGAGTAGGAAAGGATATTCAAGCCTGGGACAAAGAAAATGGGCCAGAAATTATACTAACTGAAACTTTTTCTTTTTGGAATATTCTTAGACAAGCTTTGGATACTAATAAGCCTCAAGAAATAGGTACTTCACTGTTCCCCTATGGTGGTCCCTATTAGACATATGTTCTAGACCCCCCCCCACTTTTTCATCTCACTTCATGGGATGTCCCTAACACAAAAAGTAGTAACTCATAATACTAATCTGATGTGAGGAGAAGGAAATCCTTACATTCTACATAAAATTAGTGTTAATGTTTCTTTTTATGGACATACTGAGAGACCTCCTATGTGTTTTACTACCAAAACAAGAAGTGTGCCTCCAGGGTGTATACATCTTTTGTCTGGATATTTACTTGCTGATTCTCCTAGTATACTTGGACAACAAGACATCTTAAGTTTCATTTTATTGGCTCACCTTTTGTAACACCTATGTGAACTTATGAGTCACCACCTCCTGACACTCCTCATAAGAAAGGGACAGGATTTGGGAACACATTAGCAGGACTACGGGGTGTCCTTATTGGTATAGTTGTGTTTTTCCTAATCAAGGAGCTGCTATTCCAATTCTTCTCACACCTTTACAAATTCAAAAGCAAACAATAAACCTGATAACTAAGGAGTTCAAGGCCACTCTTGGCTACACAGCAAGTTCAAGGGCAGCCTGATATTTAAAAAAACCTTGTCCCAAAACAATTTTAAGGGAGGGTGGATTGTGCTGGTGCAGGATGGGGTAAGAGTGCTGGCTTTGTGAGTTCTGTCAACATGAGAGAGCTTTTTGTTTAGTTCAAATGAATTAATATTCCAATTTTTGTTTAAATTTCTAATTCAGTATATTGAGAGCTATAATCCACATAATCAAAAATTATTACCATACAAAACTTTTCAGCGAATAAAGATCCTTAGACTAGATGCCTGAGAACTACTCCCAAGTACTAGGATCCAGGAGTCAAGAGTTCTCATGTCCAGTCACCTTTTCCCTTTAGTAACACTCACAGGCCAGAGATTAATATTTAAAACCCATTTTGAACTCCCTCTATTGTAGTTAGAGTTTTCCTGCCTGGCCCACAGTCAGGATAAATCTCTGTCACCCGCCAGTCCCACAGCCGATCAGACCCGACCAAGTAAACATAGAGACTTATATTGGTTTCAAACTGTATGGCCGTGGCAGGCTTCTTGTTAACTGTTCTTACAGCTTAAATTAATCCATTTCTATTAATCTATACCTTGCCACGTGGCTTGTGGCTTACCGGTACTTTACATCTTCCTTGTCCTGATGGCGGCTGGCAGTGTCTCTCTGACTCAGCCTTCCACTTCTTAGCTCTGTTTTCCTCCTTGTCCCGCCTACACTTCCTGTCTGGCCACGGGCCAATCAGTGATTTATTTATTGACTAATCAGTAACACATTTAACATACAGACCATCCCACAGCACTCTATCATTCGACTGCTCCTTCATAAAGTGAAGGTCCCTCCTACCTTAACGATATCCGGGTTATTGGCCAGCCTCAGTACTTTGCAGGCCTTTGCTAAGCCAATCCCACGCAGGGAGGAGAGGTAGTCACAGCCTGACAGGATACACATGTACCGGAACTTCTCCTCCGTGAACACGTCCCCAAGCTGCTTGCACATGCCCAGCCGTGCCTGATCCACTTCCAGCCCATTTCCAAACTGGTCCATTTTTAAAATCACCTTCACAGAGGAAAATGATCAATACCTAGAAAGGCCACTTTACCAACGTAAGTCATCACAATAATTCTAAGGAATCACTCTTGCTCTAAAACACAAGTTCTCTTCTTACCTTCTTTTACATACTAAAGTGGCCAATCTTTTATTATTGTTATTGGGGCAATATATGCTTATTGCAGGAAATTTTAAAAACCTGAAATTGTCCACGCCCCATTTATCAGTCACCCAGTGTTAAGATTCCAATGAGCATCCTCTTGGCAATCTAAGAAGATGTATATACATGTTATATCTGTTATCAAAAGGTAACTACCTATGGTTTTATATCTTAATTCCCCCTTTAATGGATCATTATAAAGTTTACCATTAAATTGGTCTATACATAATTTCTAAATAACTGAATAATATCCTTGTCATGGACAAGTTTGTTTACCAAACCTAATTAAAAAAAAACAACAACAAAAAAAACATAAGGCATGTGTTAGTAATATTAAAAAGTAAAACTAGCCAGGCTGGGGAGGAAGGAGAACTCGGAGTTCAAGGCCTGCCCAGGTTATAGAGTTGAGTCCAAACCCGGGTTGGGCAGCTTAGTGAGACCCAGTCACAGAGTACAGAGTAAAGAGGGCTGTGGCTCAGTGGTAAAGAGTGCTTGTCTATCAGTCAGAGGTTCAACCCCATACACAACCACATACACAAAACGTCAACCAAAGACAAGCTAAACACTAAAGAACCCACAGGCTGGGGCATAGCTTAGTGGTAGATACTTGCCTAGCATGCATAAAGCCCTGGGTTTATTACCAGAACCCCCAAAAGCAAACCAAACCCAAATCGAAATGACAAAACAATACACAGATATGAAGTGGCATAAACGGGTACTCCAGGTGAGGAAGTCTTTGGCTTCTCAACACACACAACTCTCCCCCACACAGCATCGTGGGTAGTAGCTGCAGTTCAATACCTTCTTACAGCCGAATGCCAGGAGGTCAGAGTCCTCCGTGATGACAGCTTGCACAATTCCAGCTTTGTTAAGGTAGGCCAACTGCGCATCAGCTTCATAGGGAGCCACCAGGCAGTCCACTCCCAGGGCCCGAGCAGCCTGTGAGAGACCACAGTGAGCTTGCAGCATGGTATCAGAATGGCACGGCATCCCCAGCCTACACACACACACACACACACACACACACACACACACACACACACACACACACACACACACGCCAGTAATACTTTCCAAAAACCGTGCCCTTTGAAGTAGAATCTTTCTACTTTTAGTTGTAATGTTTTACATTGTTTTGTTTTAATCAGTTTATAGGCTTGGGTGGCAGCTCACTGGCCACACAATTCTGAAGACCTTAGTTCTGATCCTAGAACCCATAAAAGATGAGGACAACGGAGCCTATAGGTAATTCCAGCACCACCACAGCAAAGAGAGAGAGGTGAGAAAAGAGAATTCTTGGAAGCTGGCAGGTGGCATGTACACTGATCAATCACAAAGGCCTCGAATGAGGTCAGAAAGGGAGGACTGACAGCCAGTGTTGTCCTCTGACCGCCCCATGCCATCTGTGGTATGTGCATGCACATGTGCACGTATACACGTACGTATACACACACACACCCCTAAAAAAAATTAATTTATAAATTTGAAGAAATCCTGCTATAAATTTGGTAGTGGTGGTTAAGTATATAAGTTGCTGTATTCATTATATCAAATTACAAAAAGTTTCTACCTTAAGAGTTGTTACATTCTGAAAGTATAGATACTGGTTTGGACGGTCTATGCACTGTTCCTGTACAGACTACAGGCTGCCTTGGCAGGAGGCAGGCCTGTCTAACACAGTTCTGGGAAATTGCAGACCCTCCTCGCTGTAGGTAACGTCAGGGGAAACACATCCCTCTGCCTTTCTCCTTTCTCCCTTGCCTACCAAGCTTCCCTGTGCACCACTCCTTGTGTCCAATTGAGACTTCTCCTCCGCTGTACACAGAAGTCTCTTCAGGGGGCAACAGAGAACATGTGTTTTCTGTAGACCTCACTCTCTCCTATAGCCCTCTTGTTCTCCAACTCAAGCCATAATCAACGGTCAAAAGACAAAGAACCTCGAGAAAAGCCTCAGGGAGCTCAGAACAGACAGCAGGACAGCTTGATGCACAGAGCTGACCTAGAACGAGGAAAGTGGGGGCTGAGCCTAAGATCTGGGTGAGGGGTGCTTAGAAGCTTTTCAGCAGGGGCAGATTACAGGGGTCTGCGGAGCTCCTCCATCAGCGAGTCAGCGAGACACATCTCTGGCCATCATTCACAAAAGAATGCGAGTTGGGGGTTAAACACAGGCTCCACCGCAGTGGGGTCAGAAACAAGCCCCCCGGGATCCTGTCCCTTGCATCTCTGTACACACCATCCAAGGCAGAGCATTTGTTCCCTGGCTTTGCTGTTTCTTGCTAACTCACTTTTATTACTTTGTGGGCCATGGCGTGTGTGATGTTGACAGAGCGAGTGAAGCAGTCTCGGGCTTCTGACACTTTGCCCTCTCGAAGGAGCTGCTTCCCTTTAAGAAGGTTGCTTTGTCGTCTCCTGAAAGGGAAGAACATGATGAAATATAAATACTTACAAGCAGAATCAAGACACGGTAGTAAAACTGCAATTATAGCAATTTTGCTAGGATGAAAGAGTTGAATACATTTAAAGATGCACAATTCCACACTAGATCTGCTGGCATCTCAGCCCAGACAAAAGGAAATGAGGTTTTTTTTTTTCTTTGAGAATGGGTATCATATAGCTCAGGCTAGCCTCATACTCACTAAGTAGAAGATGGCCCAGAACTCCAGACCCTTGTGCCTCTACCTCCCACGTACTGGGATTACAGGCAGCATCACTACTCTAGCTGAGCAAGTGATTAATAATGCATGCAACATGCCTGAAAAAAGACTTTCCCACAGCAATGTTTCATGTTGAAAAGCAATTATTTTTAAATGTGATAACAATCTAACACAAACAGAACATTTAAGGGAATCTGTTCATGTACTATGCTGTAGAGAAAAATCAAGATTTTAGAAATGTGGTATCATATGTCCAGAAGCATCTGGCCTCAGCGCAATTGAGCCAGATGTTATGTATGGAGTCAACTTACTCTCTTCGAGATCTTTCCACTTCCTTTTTCGAAGGTAAGGTACATCCATCAAAGACAAGAATAGGCTTGACCCCATGAGACAGCAGCATATTAACAAACTTCATACAATATCCTACATACCTATGGGAAGGAAAAAGAGAATGCATTTACAGGCTTTGAATCTCTTAATTTTATTTATTTATTGTTTTATTTAAGACCAGATGGCAGGATTGTGAAGAAGGACTTGTTTATTGATGCTAAACTTGCCAAAGGAAACAGTTAGACGGTTCAAATCCCACTGCCAAGTACTTACGGGGTACATGGTGGTTAGTATTTGACTCTAGGTCAGTGGTTCTCAACCTATGGGTCACAACCCCACTGGGGGATTGAATGACCCTTTCATAGGGGTCACCTAGGACCATCGGATATATCAGATATTTACATTACGATTCATAACAGTAGCAAAATTACAGTCCAGAAGGAAGTAGCAATGAAAATAATGTTATGGTTGGGGGTCAGCACAACATGGGGAACTGTATGGAAAGGCTGCAGCATTAGGAAGGTTGAGAACCACTGCTTTAGGACGCTCTTAATTGTGGATGAGAAGGCTTTGACATCTTTCAATTTTCATATTTTATTGTTGTTCCAAATATTTTTTATTCTTCTATTTAAAAAACTGACTTGAAATATCTCAAATCTATTGAAAAGTTTTAAGAATACAACACTTGATTCTCCCACAATACCTTATCATACCCAAGAGACATGACAGTATTTTCTACAATGCACCCTACGTGAAATTTCATCCAATAGTGCCAATAATGTCTCTCAGAACCAGTGATACCCCGGTTAATGTTGAACAACATGGTGCTCGGGTGTCTCATTTTCATAACATTCCGCAGCAACAGATAAGCCCCACCGACTTTCAGCCAGAATGCTAAGTGGGTAGAGATGCTGGACACTGAGCTTCTGAGGGAGGACCCCAGCGGCACTTAAGCTAAGCTTTCGAATCAAATGTAGTCACTTCTGTGTCCATTCTTTGCTGTGGCCAGCGACGAGGGCACCACACGGGAGAACAGCAGCTGCAGCTCGATTAGACATCCAAGGGCAGATGAAAGCACACCAGGACTAGTAATGTTTTAAAGCAATTTACATCTCTCTCTAACTAGAAAGCATAAGGCATCAGGTACACCCACTCATTTTACTTCCAAGTCAGCACATGCTGAAGTCAATCTCTACAATAACACTAAGTGTTATTATAATTAGCGTATCAAAAATTCCAAATTGGCGACCATTTATTTCTGGCTAATACTGCTGCCCCTGGTAGGATGAAAAAGTAAAGCAATTAATTATACCAAATATGACTTCTAAGTTGTCAGGGGAAATTTTAAATCCATAGCAGATATTAAGCATTTTAATTTCATCAATATTTAATGAGGGCCTGTCACAGACTGGGCCCTGTGGATTTCATCTCTCACTTTTCTAACAATAAAGGATATTGCCTGTATTTTAAAAATTCTTCCAATTAATCACAAATTTGAATCAAAGGCTGGAGAGAGGGCTCAGTGATCAAAAATGCTGGTTGCTCTTTCACTGACTGCTCCTCCAGGACCTTGGTTCAATTCCCAGCATCCACAACTGCCTGTAACTCTAGCTTCAAGGGATCCAATGCCCTCTTCTGGTCTCCTCAGGCACCAGATACACAAGTGATACACAGACATACAGGAAGACAAAACACCAATATACATCAAAAAAAAAGATATCCCAAACTAGACACTAAGTTTTCTTGGCTATGGAACTATTCAAATACTCAAAGAAAGCCAGTTGTGGTAGTTTTAATGAGAATGGCCCCCACATTTGAATACTTGGTCACAGGGCAGACTGGATGACAACAGGCCCCAGCATTTTTGGCCAGAACATATTGTCCCTTTGCCTCATTTTGTTAACGGAGATTAGTAGTGTGTTGTGGGAAAACATCATGGATTCTGAAAACATTGTTAAAAAGTTTATCTAGGGTAGAAACAAAGGCTTCTCTTAAGCAAAGAATAAAGGAGATAATATTTGATCTTTGCCTGTCCATATCGGGCTGACTTCTTACCAAGAACAAAAGTCAGGTCTATACCACAGAAGGAAGTCTGGCAACATTCTAAATACCTGTCCTTAACAAATGCTAGTGTTTATTAAAACAATGACCGGAAAAACAAAAATTTTAAAAAAGCACCGAGATGCTGGGACTATAGCACAGTTCACAGAGTGCTTGCTTAGCATGCATGAAGCCCCGGGCTGTTCCTAGAATGACATGAAACTGGGCGTGGGTGGCGCAAGCCTGTAATCACAGCATACAGTAGGATTCCACCTCCAGGAAGGAGGAGCAGAAGAAGTCCAAGGCCATCCTCGGCTATAACAAGTTCCAGGCCAGTCTGAAATACCTGAAGACCGTCTCAAAACACAAAAAGCACCAACTCATTCTACTTCTTAAACAAACTACCACACACCCCGAACTTACCTATCTGTTGGTTCCCCTTTGGCAAGCTTTTCAGCACAGGCAATAGCTCCTTTGTGAAGCCAACAGTAGGTATCCACAGCTACTGCCTGTCCTTTGTACTTCTTCACATTGATGGGCTCCGAAGCCTCCTTGATGAACTGAAGCAGTCCCTGAATCCCCATAGTGCCAAGTTAACTACACGAAACGCAGGAAAAGGGGAGACAGCAGTATTACAGCAAAGCTTATTTTACCAAGAAGTTTCAGAAAAATAAACCCAGTCTGGAACCCAGTACAGAAACTAACAGCTGATAACTAGCCTTGTCCCTGCCAACTTCTGTAGCTCAGAATTTCATTCACCACCAACACTAACAACCTGAACACCACTGGGTAGTTTCTTGGTGGTTATTCTTTCCAAAACGATTTCATACTTAGAATCCTAACATGGGCTCTCATCTCTTAACACAGTGGGCACATCAAAGGCATTAAAACTTTAATTGGAAGCTTCCAGAACTGTGCACACTGTGGCATTATATTCAACCCTACAAAAAGGCATTAAAGGGCCACATCCAAAGCTGCAGTTGAGAAACTCAAAAGTTCAGAGAAAGACTTTTACATGACATCAATCCAACACCATCAGAATGCAATACTCCAAACAATAATAAGTAATAATAATAATAAGTAATAATAATAATAATAATGTCATGGTGGAGTCTAGGGACAATTTCATCAGACTCACTGAAGGCTGTACTAAAGCCCCTTGCACGGAAATCCTGGAGCTATCAGCCCTTTCAAAGCAACTAATCCTCCCCACTCCAATCCTAGCAGTTGCTTGGCATTTCTCAGTACAAGTATTTCTAGATCACGTTTTTATTTGTTGGGTGTGTGTGTGCAATCAGTGTGTGTACATGCATGTAGAGGTCAGAGCAAGGCATTGGGTGCCCTCCTCTATTGCTCTCTGCCTATTCCCTTGAGGCAGGGTATGTTACTGAACCAGCCCAATGCGTTCTTGGGATCCACTATCTCTGCCTCCCAATGCTGGGGTGCTACTGGCATTCACAGCCACACGGGGTTTTAACAGGGGCACTGGGGATTCTAACTCAGGTCCTCACGTTTACAAAAGCAAGTGCTCTTACCCACTGAGCCATCTCCCCAGAATTTGTCTTTTTAAGGCATTATGTCTATGTTTATTTTTGGTTTTTTGAGACAGGGTTTCTCTATGTAGCTTTGGAGCCTGTCCTGGAACTCACTCTGTAGACCAAGCTGGCCTCGAACTCACAGAGATCCACCTGCCTCTGCCTCCTGAGTGCTGGGATTAAAGGCGTGCACCACCACCGCCTGGTTTGTGTTGGAGTTTAAATGAGAGCCTTGTTTGAACTGCTTATGCTAGCCTAGTTGGACCTCTAGCTAAGCTTTCGGGGATTCCCCATCTGTGGCCTCTCTTCTCTCAGCACTGGGATTACACGGACAGGCACCTGGCTCGTCAGACTCAAGATCATGTTTTTACTACAGGATAAGAAGCCAGCCGTGCTCCATTGACACCATATGAAAACAGCAAGGCTCTTGTCCTGAAACTTGAGGTTCTTAGACCTTTAATGCCACGCCCAGTAAATATGATTCCCTAGACGGGGCAGGACTTCTGAATTTTAAACATCAGGCAATTTGGATGCAGGTGGGCCTCCAGCCACGACTTGTGTAATCCACAAAGGAGTCCACTACCTTTAAAGGCAATGTCTCCTAAACGTGTGTTCGTGCATGCTGAGGAAAAAAAGGACATAATTACATTTCATGAAACTTGGTTAAGTTTCTTCTAGACTAAGTAAATCTCGAGTAAATATTTCCTCTTTAGCACAGGAGTGACTGAGCGCCATATGGCAGGCACACCAACCCCAGGAGATCGCCGATGGTACCCGAGGTAACAGCAGCCGCGGCTTCACCGTAGTCCTGTCTCCCGGGAATGAACAGGCATGGCCCGCAAGCCCATTCCAGGCGCTGCGGTTCCTCAAACCTGCATATGAAAGGAAACATACAAAGGAAACTCGTCGCTAGAGACGAGTGGACGTATGGACACACTCGTCAGCCCGCACCTGCGGAAAAACCGGAGTCGTGGCGCCCAGGGCACTCTCCACGCTCGCATTCTCTTCCCGGATCCCGCGCCGAGGAGGGAGGACGCGTGGATCGGAGCCGCGGGGACCTCACTTCCCTCCACACAGCCCGCTCCCCTTGAGACCGCCCGCCGCCGGTGTAAGGGATCACTCACCGGGGGACAGCGAGCCGCGCTGCTGCAAGCGCAGCCGGGGACCTTTCAATTTGCGCGGGATCGCGAGGCCCCGCCCAGCGGACATGACGTCACACGCGTCCTGAGCCGCAGCCTCCGCCTCCAGCTCTCTGTGACCCCGCCTTCCTCTCATCCGGGTCTTGAGCCCTTCCTCTCATTGGGCTCCACCTCCAAGGGCCAATGCCAGCTCGAACCCGGTGAAGCTGGACCCAGAAGGGACCGCTCATGCGTGGGGTGTGTTCGGGGCGGGGGTAGGGTGGGGGTGGGAGGGCGCGAGAACTGGCGCTCCGGAAGTTGCGTTCCTGTTCTCTCCGGTGCTGATGGGAGTTGTAGTTCTCGCTTGATGCGCACGCCGTCACAGCCACGTACAGGGGCTCTAAAGAACGTCCACCTTGGGGCCAAAATTGTTTCGTTGTTTTAAACCTGGGAAAAGAGCCCTGATGGAATTAGTCGCTTAGTCCCAGGCCAACTCCACGATCTTTCGTCTCTCTGAAATGTCCTCACCTCTGTGAAAATTGAAGTTGAGTTTACTACAAGCCTTTCATATTGCATTTATCTGCTCTTATCTACTTTATCCAGTATCTGGCTTCATCCCTGACTCGAGTTGGGAAAATGTTATCTTTATGACTAAACAACAAAATGGGCCCTATGGTTCACAAACATTAAAGATATCTTGCATTTGGGTGGCTGTCTTGGGCCCCATTTCCTAATGTTATCAAGGAAAGAAAACCCCTCTAGTCTCACTTCCTCTTAATTGACTTCTAAAACTCACTAATTTTAGAAGTCACACAGCTGGACCGTGAATAATTTAGTCTCTCACTGTCTTTCCCATAGCAGACACCTCTGACTGAGGCCATCTAAGTATGGTATAAGAATCTTTCCCACCTATATCCTTTGGAGAAAGTTTTTCCCTCTTGTCCTTCAGGAAAAGGTACCATTTGCAATCCGGGGACTTTAATATCCTAACAATTAAGGGACGAATTAACTATTCCTGGGCAAAGGAATTCAAAAGACACATGTTGAGATTTTCTTTTGGGTTACATTACAGAACCCCAAACATCCATTAATATACGGATAGATAGCAGCAGCTTGTGCACTGGTAAAACAGACCACTGAAGATTTGTAACCACCAGGTGTCCCTCCCATATACTCTCCCACAAGTCCATAGATAAACTATCTGGAGCCCCAGGGAAACTGGTCTTTGCTGGGGGAACTACTCCATCTTTGGTTTGCTTGCTTTCCAAGTAAACCGTTTTCCTTGCCCAAATAACTTACTTGTAAGTCACTGGACTTTTTGAATGGAGCAGGGAATGTGGGTTTACAGTTATAGGAAATTCCCAGATCTGGCTAATGTTCCCTTTTCTTTGGAATATGTGGTAAATCTCTCTCTGTGTGTGTGTGTGTGTGTGTGTGTGTGTGTGTGTGTGTGTGTGTGTGTGTTGTTGGGGGGTGCAGGTGTGTGTGTGTGTGCGCGTGCAAAAGTATGGAGTGAAACTTTAGCCATACTGGGGCCCTTTAGTCCTATCTAGATAGAAGTCCACTTTGGGTAGGCAAAGATGAATTCTTGAAGTGCATCTCAACCCTTCCTTCTATTCCTCTTTCTTTGAATGTTACCATCTGTGGAGCTGCCCTAAGAGGTGGCTTCTAGTGCTCCACTTCAGTGAATACCTCAGGTAGCAGGACACATGTTACAGCCCTTGTGTAGACCTAGGAAGCCAGAATTCCTCAGGCCTTCGCTGCAGCTGGCCTTGCAGCTTATAGGCAGGCACAATATTGGTATTTCTCAACCCTTGACAGTGCTAGTGATACAGCAAAACAACACTAGTAGGTTCTCCTTTAGGACCTTTGACCTTCCCGGGCATGGGATTTTGACCAAATTTATAGTCCCAGCAGTGAATTCTCTTCTGGGGAGCAAGCCTCAAACCCAACCAGAGTTCAGGTGGTTACCCCTACACCAGTCATGCCAATACTGCACTAGTGGGCACATTTCCCTGGCAGTTCAGTATTTTAAGAAGCAGGGTCCAGTGCTGGGTACGACCACTGATAGTTTTACTCCAGTAGGCTACATAGCACCTTCTGGTGCTCTGAAAGCTAACCATCAGGGATGTTTCCTGGTCAGTTCTAGATTGATTTGTCTATCGATATCCTGCAACCAAAGTGTGTAGTGTCTTTAGCAATGGGGTCTTACCATCTGGTTATGGTGGACAGCCCAGCATTGCCCGGTACTTCAGAACTGTGGGTGCAGTTTGTCTAGCTGCTTCAAGCTCCCTCTTCTGTGCCTTCCCCCATTTTAATGGACTGTGGCCTCAAACTCTGAAATAAAATAAACCCTTTCTCCCTTAAGTTGCTTGATTGATCAGAAACTTTTATCAGAGCAATAGGAAAAGTAACTAAAACATACGTTCTTAAATGCCAGCAGAGACGTACAGACCATGCATTTTTTTTCAGCTTGAGCACAGTTCTGTTATTTTTCATTTCCTGATGTCTTCTTTGAATTGGATGTTAGTTTGACAGCATGCAAACTTCCTGAGGTGACTCTACCCTGACACTTATCATCTCCCATTCTAGTTGACTTTGTCTCTCTATATTCTAAAAATCCTTTCAAGCACAATCAGTAGATTTTTATGATCTAAACAAACAAACAAAACAACAACAGATACATTTGATAGAATTCATGTGAAGATAAAAACAAGTATAATTAAATTTAATATTCATTGTAATTTAACTTATATCAATTTTAAAATACATAATTAAAATAATGCATATTTTATGGCTCATAGAAGCAAAAGGATAGTATTGAATGTGTTAAGAAACCTACATATGTGCGTGAATGGGAATCAAGAATGGAAATATTGGGCCTAGAGAGATGGCCCAACAGTTTAAAACTGGCTGCTTTTCCAGAGGACCTGGGTTCAGTTCCCAGAATCCACATTGTGGCTCACAACTGTCTGTAACTTCAGTTCCAGGGGGTCTGATGCCTTTTCTGATCCACCAGGCACCAGGCATCCACGAGGTGTACAGGCATACATGCAGGCGAAACACCCATACACAGAAAATAATAATTTGAAAAATCAGGATATCCCAGGGCTAGAGAAATGTCTCAGTAGTTAAGAAGAGGGTGTAGTGTTTTCACAGAGGACCCGAGTTCAGTTCTAGCACTAACAATAGATGGCTCACAGCCACCTGTATTTCCAGCTCCAGAGGATCCAACTCTCCTGGTCTCTGTGGACACCATGCTCTCATGGGTGCACACAAATGCAAACACACATACAATTAAAAGTAGAATAATTTGTTTTATAAAGCAGGATAGCCTTAGAAAGTCCTGTAACTCTATCCTGAGGAAGCTGAGGCGTCAGCAGCATGAGTTTGAGATCATCCTGGTCTACATAGTGAGACCTCATTCAGAAAAAGAGGTCTTAACAACCTAAAGGGAAAAAACAGACAAAGAATCCAAAGTGGGATCTACAAAATAAGTGGAACTAACGAGCAAACACACATTTCTACTTCTTAGTATCAACTTAGGTCAATTTAGTATTCATAGAAATAAAATGTAAGAGAAGGTTGTGATAATATTTATACAATTCATACAGTGAAAACGGTTTTACAATAATATCACGGATTTGGAGGGAATACTGAAAGGCACTCTTCTAAAGTGCTGGTGATTTAAGTAGATAATCCTTTCCCAAAGGACAATCTGGCAGTGCATACAAAGAATATAAAAGAAAAAACATAATAAAGCATTTCAATTCTACAATTATTCTTCAAGGAATTGATCCTAAAAGGACTGCTGGATTAGAGGATAAAGATGTAAGTGTGCCCATCATTTACAATAAAAATACAAACAGTCAAAGTATCCAACAGCAGGTGGAAAGTTAAATCAGTGTGACCCACCCATAATGAAGGAATATAAAATATGACATTAGTGCATATGAATGCCCAGGAAATCATGACATAGAAGAAGCCCCACATACTTTATTTACATACAGAGAAAATAAGACTTAATATTAGATATCTCTAAATAGTATGGCAGCCGGGCGGTGGTGGAGCATGCATGCCTTTAGTCCCAGCACTCGGGAGGCAGAGCCAAGTGAATCTCTGTGAGTTCAAAGCCAGTCTGGTCTACAGAGCGAGATCCAGGACAGGCACCAAAACTATATAAAGAAACCCTGTCTCAAAACAAACAAACAAACAAACAAACAAACAAATAATAGTAGTATGGCTGGAGATTTTTTTAAATCCCTTCTTCATGGCCAAAGTTTTTTTTTTCTTCATACATTTGTGTTTTTTAATTTATTTATTTATTTATTGTATGCATCTGTGTGATTGCTTCTCTCTCTCTCTCTCTCTCTCTCTCTCTCTCTCTCTCTCTGTGTGTGTGTGTGTGTGTGTGTGTGTGTGTGTGTGTAGGTCAGAGAACAGCTTGCTTAATCAGTTCTCTCTTTCTACTATGTGGATTCTGGGGATTGAATTCAGGGCTTGAGGCGTGGTGGCAAGTATCCTTACCTGCTGAGCCATCTTGCCAGCTCACAGAAACTATGCGAGAGTTTCTACTATAATTAGAAAATAGATACTAATTTAGAAGTAAATGGACATCTTGACTTGTGATGAGTGAGTAATATGAGAAGGAAGGACATGACATTTGATCCAAGTGCAACCCTGCCTCAGATGACAAGAGCAATTGCTAGAAGCATTTCTGTGGATGCTGTTCTTCAGGAGCCAGAGCTTTACAAAATACACAGGAGGAGAAAAAAGTGGATAGAGTCACCACTGCTGCTGCTAAGGAACTATGGTGTACAAGTGAAACAGAAGCCGGGGACAGACTGTTCTGCCATGAAAGGTCACCCCAAAGTAAGGAGTCGGTGACAAAGACAGCCAGTGCCTTTTCAATCGTGGAGGTATTTTATAGAAGCCATAGTCTCTACCCCAGGGATGATTTCTCAGTAGTTCTGATCATTTCTAGGATTCTCTATCCAGCATTCCACCAGTACAGGTACTCCTGAGCAGCCAATGTCTAAGTCACTGCATCATTGGAAGAGGTTTTGAAGATGGGTCACAAAGATAAAATGGCACCGAGAGAAAGGTATTTCTATCT